CCATGTGCAGTAATTGGTTTTGTTCACAACAAAATGATAATGCTAACGTTGATATAACCTACCACAATATCACAGAGGGGATTTAAGATTCTGTGTTATCAGATAGGAATCATTACGTAATAGGATGCACTGAGAAGGATGAATTATATGCAGATACCGTAAGTAATCATCTAGCTATAATTTAAAAAACCCTGATTTCTCAGGAAACTGTTGACTGCAATGACACAAAAATGGGTAATAAGATTCAGTTTCCATCCTGAAAAAAGCTCAAAATACACCTGTACTAGCTTAAGTTTGCTAGTGATTGAATCAGCCTCAAAATACTAAACAGTTCAATGTTATTTGATTTACGATGATGAAGAAACAATCAAATCTCTAACTGAAACCATGGAAAACCCAGTTTATATTTTCTCTTGTACCCAAACATTAGGCAGCCACAGCAAGGCTGTTTTTCTCAGTCTCTGTGATGTACTTATGCTCCAGGATTTCAGCAGCTATGCTATAAACAGTTCCGTGAAAGAAACAATCAAAATAAATTAACTTTCAACAAGGGGGTTGGTTGTTTTCTCATCAGGGAAAAAGCCCACAATATACTTCCAAATATAGATGTTTTAAAAGCTACTTTTCTCTGCCCCTTTTCATGAAAGAAAAAAGGCGAGTGTGGCCATCAGAATGTTGAATCCAGCAGAGCAAACTACATTTTTAAGGTTCCACTGGAAAGACAAAAATTATAGAGATGATGCTTATATAAAAAAATCCCAAAATTAAACAAGGCAAAGCTTAAAGAAATAAGGGAGAAAAATAAGAGAAACAGAAGCAGAGTCAAGAGGAGTTATGGATAAACTTCTGAAGTACAGAGTCTCTTCAACAGATAAAACTACATGGAACTTTAGTTAGAGACAGGAAACAACACCACATTTTCAAGACCATGCTGTTTTTATATAATAAATGCAGTGTAAAAATTAAATGAAGGATTTATGCCAAATAACATTTTAAGACATGGATTCATGTTTCTTTTTCACTCATGTCTCCATATATAAGAAATTTCATGTAAGTTAGCAAGTAAGCAGTTACTGTGACTAAAAGCACTTTCTGTTACCACAGCCACAGACCTGACTAATGAAACTTTTATTGCTGTAAAGTTTCGATAATTTTAAATGTCCTTTTTTTTTTTGTATTGTGTCGATCATTCCCAAGAGCAGAGTTTAGTCTGCAGTGAATGTTACTTCATATGGAAGAAAACAGTTATCACTCTCACAACTGAAATAAACCATTTAATACTAGAATTTCCACTAACATGCAAATTCAAAAATATGTCAAAAAGCACCAGAAAAGGATAAAAAAAGATGTGTGAGGGAAGAGAACCAAGGCAAGCTATAGGTGATAGAGCAGTATTTTCTATTATACAGGTACACCATCCATCTATACCCATTAAAAAGAACTATGATGAATTCAAATGGAAACCAAACACATGTTCTTCAGATCATACACCACCATATACAGTGTTTTCAGAGTTATTCCTAATTTACAATCATGTAACCAAGAGCTGAACTTTAGTCATGTAAATAACATCTTCTGTTTACAAAATTAAAACACCACAGGTAAAGAATTTATATCTAAGACACTAAGCAGAGTTGTGATGAGCAATGATCTGTCCAAATCCACACTTTTGTCTGTTATATGCATATATTTTCTGTCATTATGGAGGACATGTGTGTATTATATCTGTTACGCCATTTTTTGGTTTGAAAATACATTTGTCATACAAACATTCAAGAGCACAGTAACAATCTATACATGGAAAAACACCCCAGAATTTATTCACTTGCTCCAAGTTTGTTATTACAGATGTATCAATGCTAATATGATTAATTTGATTAATATCCAGCTTTTATTGCAGTACAGAGAGTAACTAAGTCAAGACTTTGATCTAACATCTCTTTTAGTTTATATTGCTCTTCCTTGTTGATGTAAAGCTAAGTGAATATGTTACTAACACTATTCTTTGCTGAGGTGAAGACTAATAGAATCATGGTCCTCAGTAATAGCAACTCTGATCTGAAGTCAACATTATGCCTCTCTCTGGAGGCTCTACATAGTCACTTGGATGCAAATGAACCATTATCTTTAATAACATGACTCCTCCTGAAAGTAAGAGAATCAGCAGCATTAGGAAAATCTGATCAGCCTTTCTCCTAAAACATTACAAATCAGAATGTGAACCTCACGTGGAGTAAAAGCCAGTGCACCAGACATGAGGAGAGGAAGGTTTTCTTCAGCAACTGCAAGAGAATCCTTGGAAACTGGTGGAATATTATAGTTTTTTTCCACTTGAGAAATTCTTCCAAGTTCACTTACTTTGAAACTAAAATGCTGTGTATTTCCTGCTAGTGAATAAATGAGCTGCATTTCACCCAGTGCATCTTTATAGCAGTGGTTGAATTCTCAGAATGCACTTTACTGGCTCACAGATCTGACCACGGGCATTTGCCAGGCAGATTTAACCTCCCTGAGGCTGTGGGTCACTGTATTATGCAATTTCAAGCCAGACAGTTTTACTTACTCTTCTGGCCTGAATGTTTCCTCTTACAACTTTTATTTCCTCTTATTTACTCCTCAGGTTCCTGTCAATGAAAGGCTTTTATAACCTTCTCTCTGCGGACCGGCACTGCACTGACTGGGTAAGAAATGCATTTCTAAAGCTGACCTGTAGCTGTTGCTCTGTAGGCAGGATCCAAGCACAGGTCTTGGGTTTTTTTGCTCTAAAAAGGGTTTTTTCGACTGTGGGATAGCATCAGTTTTCCGTGACACTGCATGCTGGCTGACGGGTGGGTAAGATAAACAACTCATGTATATTCCAAAGGAAGAGCAATTCCTGAGCAGGTCACAGCACCGAAAGAGAGAGCAAAGGAAACCAACCTGGCAAAATGATAGTCTACAAAAGCATGTCAAAACAGCCCCTTTCTGAAATCTGCTCTCCCAAATCTTGTTCTGCAATGAAGCTGACAAAGCTGAGGTATAGTTTAAAAAAACCTGAGTGGCTTTGAAACAAACAAACAAAATCTCTCCCTGCAAACCAAAAGATTATTATCAGTCACTAACCTGCATAACAGAAATTCCTAACAATGTTTATTAATATGGCTGTAAACAGAATAATTTGTCTGCCTTATAATATCTCTGTTTGATACAAATAACAGAATCCACAATAAACAATTGCAATAAGCCCTAAAGAATAAACAAGATTGCTTGTCTGATAGAACATAGGAAAGACAACAAACCTATCTTCTGAAGGACTATTAATAATCAGTACAATAAATAACAAGAATATAGCAAATAATCCAAATTTAATCATTCTGAGTAACTTCACTTTTTAAAAAAAGGTCCACCCTCTTCCCAAGAGAAATTTACACATTTTGCCAAGCAGATTTATTTCTCACATCAAATAGATCTTATGGGGTCAAGGTCTCCTATGGCCTGAGAAGTGCAATACATCTACTTCAGGACTGCAGACTATACTTACTACGTTTATTTCTAGGAAATGATTTTGCAAGGACAAAAGATGAGTTTTTAATAAAGAACCAAATTTACAGTGTCATGTTTAAGCAAATATAGAAACACTTGCTTTTATGATTTTAATTACATTGCTGAGTCATTCTTAGAGACCAAAAATGCATATTTACAAGGTTAACTGAACACGAAGAGTAACTGTAGATTAAAGTCGACAATAGCCAAAGGAACCTTCAGTGTTCATATTGTAAATATTGCTGGGAAATACTGTTTTGATATACTGAAGTTTGCAGATTATTTCACATGCACTAAAGATCCTACATACACAGATCTTGAATGAAAACTACGTGGAGTATCTGCTAAGTGACAACAAAAATTCACTCTGGACCAAAAGCCTGTCATAAACATTGCACTCATACGTCTTCCGCCCTCACATTTTCCTTACAGCCTTTGCCTAGTGTTTAATCTGAAAAAGAAAACTTTGCCTAATAGGTGCCATGAAGTTTAGAACACAGAAGTCTCCTTATTTATATAAATTCTTGACTTAATCTATTTCAATTTACACAACAACATGACAGCAATGCTCCGTATTTGGCACATCTCTGCTTTGTTTTGCCTCTGTGAAAGGGAAACATTAGCATGCAGTGTCAGGAAGCATTCCAGTTCAACCCAGCTTCAGCTTTGTTCCTGAACATTCCTGAAGGATGTGTGCATATGGAGATGAGCACAGTGCAAAAAGAGAAATGAGGAGAATATGAAGTCAGTGCACCATTACATTTCCAAGAAAACACACACCTTTCCTCATGCCTATTTTATCTTGGAATAACTAATACCAGGTTTCCAGATCCTCAGCTGACCAACTGAGAGACCGTTTGAGTTGTTCAGGTGCAAATAACCTGCAGCAGTGAAGGCTGAGGAAGGACAAACTTTGCTAACAGTTTATCTCTGTCCAGCTCCCACCCAGTCCCCAAACAGTGTAAAATGCCTCTTCCTTCCACTTACCTTGCAGAGGCTGATGGACTTAAAAAGAACATGGTGTTTTGAGGACTCCAATCAAGCATACAGATCTTTACAACCAACATTTATACTAGAGGATCATATTTTGCTCACAGTATGAGAATGGATATAAAATTCATTTTGAAGGCTGTATCATCCTACTGTGCAGTAAAAAAATACACAGCAATGCCCATTTCCTTTATGTTGAGAACAGTCTGAAAAGGTGAGGTTAGCTAATACGTAACCTAAAAAACTTTCAGAATTATTACCATTTGTAACATAATGTTCCTCCAGTTTTTATCTGTTTCTATGAATGGTATATCCCTATAAAACCAGTCCCTTTGAATCTCTGGGATAATCCTCTGGAGACCTAAAAGAATGCACTTACAGGAGATAACTTTCCACTGCAACATGCTTGTCATGTGAGGATATAACCTGAGAAAATAGAATTCTATCTCTATGTTACTTTTAGTTTGTCCATTTTTATTCATAGCTACCTCTGAAGTTTTGATGTCCTCGTAAGAAAACTGCGTGGCAGGTACTCCAAGATGGTTGATGAAATAGTCTGAATCTCCCTGTATCTGCACAGAACTCACATTAGATCCTGGGCATCTAGTCTTTTCCAAACAGCTGAAGCTCTGGCTCTGAAAAACAAACACAAATCAAAGTTCTACTTATCTGCAACCAGACTCTTGATGACTTGTAGCAGTATCTCATTTACATGGCATTCTTTGGGTTGAAGCACCTTGAATGTAGAAGAGAATGAAGTTTGCTGCAACAAGGCTGAGTCTTTCAGAGGACAAAGAAAGTCATATTTAACTGAAATGTTAGGAAAAGCAAGAGAAGCAGCAAGGCACAGGGAATGTCCCATACTGGCCAGAAGATTAGAGGTCATCATGGTCCCTTTTGGAAAAATATTTTGAGGTCTTTAATGGCTACTACGGAATCAGTTCTTCATTCGGTTAAACAGCATGTTGTGCTACAACAAAAAGCTGAATGAGATGATCATATTCAAGGTATCTATAATCTATGAAATGCTGACAAGGTAAAGAATTTGATGCAATTGCAGAGTAGGACTTAAGAGAAAAACATAATGAAATGGCTAAAGATACAAAGTACACATTTTCTGGGTAAGTTTCTTAAACAATACTTACCAGTGACATCTTTGTATTTCTTTCTCATTAAGTATTTAATGGTGAAATCTTAGCAACAGAACTGTAATAAATGTAAGATGAGAACTGGAAATCAAGACCCAGACTGAGTGCTAGATCCTAGTGTAGCTTTCAAACACATCAGGTAATTAAACACTTAATGAACAGTAGGCACAAAGGCTTTCAACATCTATTATAGCAAATAAGCTACTTAGCTTGTTAGCTTTTCGAGAATGTTGGGAAGTTGAAGGACCGGGATTATTTGCATTTAGGTAACAGTTTATATAGTATAACAATGTCCTCACATCTACCTACTAAATTACTTACTTGCTACCAGAACAGTGTAAGATTAGTTCTCCTTTAACACTAGTACAGCAAATTCTGTATATTAAAGTCCTGAGGTTATCAAGAAAATGTTTTAAGAGTTAGACAGAGACAAATCTTGGTATTTTTTCCATTTTAAAATTAGCATAATTATTGCTTCACAGTTTCATTTCAGTGCTATGAAGAATGCAATTGCATATTACCCAGTCTAAATAAGGGCTGCAGATTCTCACAGAAAATTGTTTTAAAATAACTTCAAGAAATACCTTCTATTTCCTAAGAATTTTTGAAAGATGGTTATATCACTTCCTTTTTATCTGTTAAACATTTCTGCTCCTACCATTCTTACATCAATTCACAGCTGTGCAAGGTCCATCCAAAAAGTTACAACAGAAACAGCAGAAGCCCAAACCATAAACTCATTTCAAAAGACGTTTTTAAACAACCACACTTGCATCTTCTACAATCTTTCCCACTCAAAACCACTGCATAGGACATATCCACCCAAAAAGACAGGCTTATAATTTTATGGGTATAAATGTATATAAGATTCATTGCTCCTTTCAGGAATTTTAAGTGTTTAATGTACTGTAGTGCAGCTTGGATTAGTCTCTCCTCGCTTCCTCATACTGCCCAACACAGCTGGTCAAGCCTCATAAATGAAGAGTAGCCTGTTCTTACTTTAATGCTTAAAATCTTATTGAATGATGTGAAACACAGCTTCTGATGGTCAGTTCTGAACATACACCAACCCCCATTTCTGAGAGCATGCCAGGAACAGAAGCAAGAGATGTCTTCCTTTTCAGAAACCCAAGTCTGACATGTAGCCAGCGTTCTGCCCCACAGAAAACACCTTAGCACATTCAATTTCAATTCAATATTTGAATACTCTGATTATTCAAAAAGCATCTTTTTTTTCCCTCATTACAGCATCAGTGCAATATTTTTTATCTATCAAATTTCACATATGAAATTTTTACAGAATTGATTAAAACAACTATGAGATATTTGGGGTTTATATCACCATCCTTGATGGTACAGGGTTTCTACTTTTATGACAGCAATGTTCAATTCAATTCATTTTTAGAGTTTAACTGCTTTATTCCACTTTCACTGTTCTGACACACAAGTCCCTGATAATGACTAGTTCAACAATAAATATTTATCTCAGAGCACTAATATGGGAGAACACTTTTCAGGAAAGATAACTGTTCTCCTCCAATTTGTTTTAACTGTTAAGTAAACTCTACAACGTCAGCATTCTTCAACTCTTTGGTAACAACTGCAAAGTTCATAGTGTTCTGCATTCGTTACACAAATTTAATGTTTCCCAAAGCTAATGGACTTAGAGAATAATTATGTCCTACAATTAATAAAAGTGGTAAAATTAATTTAAAAAAATCTTCAAGACTGCATCTAAAAGAAATTATCAGCTCCATGCAGCTGAATCACTGTTGTAGTGTAGCCAAACTTTTTCACCCAGTGAGCCTTACAGTAAAAACACATTGTAGAACTATTTAGAGCGCTCAGCTGCTCAGGCTGGGCTCCAGTCAAGCCACTGGTTAGCCAGTAATCAAGGAGTGCTTCATGTCAGTGCAAGGATGCACATGCTATTCATAATTGAATAATTTCATTTCTCTGGAGTTCATTTTGGGTTTTAGCGTCATGTTAGAGGTTTATATTACAAATTCGAGAAAATGAAGAGTACCATATGGCCCATTAAATACACTTAATTTGGGTTAATGTTCTAAAATAGATCTGACACATCTAAAGTATAATCAAGTGTTCATTGCAGACCTTATTCTACCACTAATTAGAACTAAGCATTCATAGGTGCCTTCTGCTATGCTGTTAAGATCCTGCTATAAAATAAAGCCTATAATTTAAAAAAAAATAATAATTTATTGGCCACTTTGATAGTTCACCTTCCACCTGTGAGTGGTGAGACAAGGACCTGTCAGTTAGTTCTGGTTACCTTCTTTTCTTTATGTGACTTCAGCTTAACTTAGTAACATTTCCAGCTTTTGAAAATGGATTAAAAATTAAAATTTTGAAAATGGATTAAATTGCTTAACAGAGCAAATAAAGAATGACCAATTATGCCTGTAATATGTCAGTGATGCCAGCTTCAGAACTACAGCAAGGAAGCTTATTCTTCATGAATAATCAATCTCTATTTCTTGAGCTGAATCACCACCTGTGTTGGGAACTGGTGCAAAGCAAATGCATTTAAGAACCTGAAGTATAAGACAGACCATCTAGATGAAGTAAAATTATCTAAACAAAGAGCTACAGAATTTATTAAATTAGGCTCAAGGTAAAAATGCAGAAAACAAAAGATTAGCATCTTTATTACTGTAAACATGTTATGCTAAATCAACAACAAACAGGTAATAAAGGCCAGAGAAGCTGCACAGCAAAGGAATCAAAAGTATATGTCTCTCATCTATGAACACCTGCTACACTCTGGCAAACAAATCATTAGAGGAAGAAGGTTTGACAATTCTTAAAAAATATTATGAACTGTTTGCTTGTCCTGACTGCCAAAGTCTACTGAAAAAAAATCATGGAGCTTATAGGAATTGTATTAATTCTATGGCAAGCATACTGTTCTGCTTTTTCCAGCTGATTATCAGGTTTGGCTATAAACATCCTGCTCTGCTCCCTGTCTTTGCTGATTGATTATATATATTGCTATTAATGCAAATTAGCTGTTCATAAAATTATTAGGGAGACTTAACATGGCATATCCCCCTATAGGCTTCAAAGTGCTTTTCAAATCAACTAAAGGCAAGCAAGGTACCTAACATTTCTGTCCTGCCCAACATCATAGAGCAAAACAACTACACAGGAATTAAATACACAATATTTCCCAAATTTTGAATGTTATCAAACTGATTCAAGTAGGACATGATTAAAGTTTGCACATAAAAATAATTCTAAATTATATTCACTTATTCTTTCTCTGCATAAGAAAGGAAAATCTAAATGTGCTGATGATAATTAATATGCTATAGATGAACAACATATTTGTGGCTTAAATAGTCTGGATGTTACACACCACTAACATGATGTATTTGCCTATTTATACAATGCAATCATCTGATTAAAACTACACCAAGAAATCTTATGAGGTAGAGTGACTCAAGCATGGTGCTTTTAATTAATGTTATATTAAGATTAAAACATTTAATTGAATAAAATGTTGGATCCTTACTTTCTCAGCAATTGTCTTCTTCCAGCTTATATATATTTTCATTTAAATACGTAAGAAGCTTTACTGAAAACACCTGAACATTACTTATTGACCCCTAAGGGCAACATGAAGACTTCCAATGAAATTGTTCTGTAGCTTTGCAAAATCAGTCAAAGAAACGATGCATTTAACTTGCAGAAATTTTCCCTAGTTTGGGTTTTTCAGTGTTATCACAGTAAAATGAAAGATGTTCCTTGCACACACATATTCTGTTGAGAGGACTGTCTTGTCACTACAGCAAAAAAATTTTCCAGGAATTAGTGTTTACTTAAAGTCATCAGGGACAAGGAATTTCTCATCATCTTAAATCTTCTGATATTCCTGACAGTACAGGTGATTCTCAGCTAGATCACTACAGCTGCCAGGGATCACCATCAGCCACTTGGAAGTCTCCTACCCCAAAAAAACATGTGTTTCCTTACACAAATGCACTGGCACCTGGAAATTCCAAGAGTAAACTGTTTCTTAGACCGTGTAGGAAGATAATATTGTATTTTCACAAGGAAAAACTGCCCCTTAGATAAACCACGTGGTTTAAAAATAATTGCTCTTTGAACAAGCCTGCAGGTATCCTGCAGGACAGAGAAGACCTTTTTCACCCAGGGGGAAGAGGAAACTCAAAATGGTGACAAGTACAGTGCTTTTAAAAGGCCAGGTCAAATCGAGATTAGCCAGGATCCAGTTCTGACACTGTATTCAGATTTCCACTGAACCAAGAAAAAAAATCAGTTGAACTGCACAACACAAGCTGCCAGACATAAAACTCCAGTTTTACTTTTCAAAAAAGTGTGAAGTAAATTTTGCCTTTTCTCGGTGACTTCCTAACAAAACTGGGAAACTATAATACAGTGGTTATAAAACAAAGCATGGAGAAATACCTATGCCAGAGTGAAAAATTTAAATGTATTGTTAT